TTTTTAATTTTTAAAGTTTATTTTTTAGTTCTTTTTGTCCCTTTAATATTTTTAGATACATGGTACATTGAATAATATAAATTTTATAATAGAGAAATTAAAAAGTTTTTTTAAGTAGAAAAATAAAAGAGAATTTTTTTACTCTTTTTACTTTAAAATTTTTATTATCTCATGTATACCATATGTAAAAAGATATTGAAGAAACTAAAAAGAAGTCGAATAATAAATTTTATAAACTAATAAAAGACTTTTTTAAGTAAAAAGATTAAAAGAATACTTTTTATTAAAATAGAGAAACTAAAATACAATTCACATTTATGAAAATTTATGATTATTTTGAAAAAAAAAATATTTTAAAAAATATTCCAATTCACATTTTTGGCCCACAGTGTTAGCATTTTGTAGCAGACCTTGATTATTGCAGGGAAATAAATTTGCAGCATCGAATCTATAAATCAATTGCAATTGCTTTGATGACATTTTCTCATGTAATACGACCTCATCAAATATAGACATCATCCATTTGGTTATGAAGTTTAGTTTTTGTCAGGTAAGACAATATATGAGCTTAATAGAATGTGATTTGATTTGAACTTGATAGTTGATGCCAATATCATGTAGGTTTTCAAATTCTTTGACATGGATTTTTCTCACCCAACATTTTGGAACGAAGCTTTCACATGAAAAAAATTCTGCAATGAAGCTAATTTCATGAAAGAGAGTTTTTTTTTTTTTGAAAAAATGGAGCATTTGAGTTCAAAAGCAGGGGAAAACTGTACAACGCAGAGTCAGGGTCATAAAAGTGTCTAATTGTTAGGAAGACAATTGAACAAAGGACCAAGAAGTTAGAGAAGCAAATGTAAATCTTAGATTACAATTCATCCAAAACTTTGCTTGAAGGGCTAAAATAGCGGTCCAAATTAAACAGGAAGAATTTGATACTGACCCATAACAATCTGGATTGGAATAACTGTTGTGGGCTTATTAACACTGTTAGAAAACCAGGTTGTTGTAGGTTGATGTTTTACTCAATTTGGTCTAAGTAACCTCTATAACATAGACGAAGAGTTAATAATAGTGTCTTTAATTTGCACAATTCATGAACAATACATTTGCCTCGGAGCATAAATTGGTGCAAGCATGCAAATGTTTGTTTTTTGGGGAAAAAAAAAATCAATGCATTCAAATAACAAATATACGAGCACTTCAATGGGGAAGGCAACAAGTTTTTTGTCAAGTCATCCAGCAAACACCAAGCAGAATCAACCCTACATGATATCCAAATATGGACCAACAAGAAAAAAAGGCAAACAGAACGTAAAACCAACAGGAAAACAAACAGAATACAAACGTGAATCAACACAAAGTAAGGAGAATAAGCAACCATTACAGACCATGAAAGACAACTCCCATTATTCATCATGATCAATGTACGTGTCTCCTTGTTGCTTGATAAAATTTACATTCCTTCCTGGATTAGCTAGTAATACCAGTCGGTGTAGCTAGTCCAAAACTGAACATTTAAGTTGGGAGGTGGGTTTAAGGTTTCAACTGCATACCCTTCGTCCATGTTGTCATTCAAATCAATCTTCATCTCTTGCAAATGGATCTTATCATGAAGTCTTGCTCTCCTAACCTCATCTGCATCTATGGTACATCCAACGAACTTCACCCAAAGCCGACGAAGGTGGCACAATTTTTCCAGATCACCAATACAAAATTCTTTAGGATCATTGTGATCAACCCTGATGTTAACCTCAATCAACTCCCTGAGAGAAGCCAATCTCCCCATTGATTTTGGGTACCAAGTTAGATCAGAGCAACCTGCAGCACGGAAAAACCTCAAGTTGATCAATTTCCCAATCCCCGCGGGTAGTTTTTCAAGACGACTGCAACCTTTTAGATCCAAAGATAGCAGATTGCATAATTCACAGATTGCTTCAGGCAACTTTTTCATCTTCAGAGCGAAAGAGAGGTTAAGGTGCCTCAAATGCATCAACTGTCCTATGTTATCAGGAATTCCATTTTCGAAATGATTGAGCCCATCAGGCCAACCAAATTCGAGCAAACGCAGACATTTTGACTGTTTAAATAAGTTGCACAATGCTGCATTACTTATTTTTTCCCGTCCACAAAAGGTTACAACACTCCGCAGCTTTTCTGTGCCATGAATTGAGGCAGGAAAAGAAGTTCGTTCCGCCAGCATTACTGTCAAATGGCGAGCTTCGGACTGTAACTCCACGGTTGAGTTTTCACCGGAAGCAACCTTTTTTGTTACAAAATCACTTTCTGTCAAAAACAGGACAAAGTCATGTACTATGTCATGCATCTTACATTTAAATATGCTACCATCTTCAAGTCTTCCAAAATCTTGGAAGAAGCAGCGAGCTGCCAAATAATCAAAGTACTCTCTGCCTACTAATTCCATCTCTGCATTGCCACTAGAATTCAGATAACCTTGAGCCATCCAATGTTGAATTACAAGATACCTCCATATTTCAAAATCCTTTGGAAACACAGCGCAATACAAAAAGCATTGTCTTATTACTGAGGGTAAATCATAATAACTCAACAAAAGAGGAGCAAAGATATCTTTCTGTATCATTTCTGATGTCCATATTTCATTGTCTAGAACGTCTTTCCACTCTTCTCTTGTTCTTTTACATCGCAACAAACTCCCCAACGTCTTTGCAGCAAGTGGCAGTCCTTTACACTTCTTGGCAATCTTCCACCCAATGTCATTCAAATCTGAACATTGTTGCCTGTCCCTATTGACGAATGCTATTTGGCTAAGTATGGACCAACACACCTCTTGAGACAGCTCTTCTAAACGGAAGACGTGGGAGGATTCCATTATCTCTACAACTGCGTCCTTGCGAGTAGTCACCAAAATCCTACTTCCTGGAGCTCCATGTTTAAAAGTCTGTTTCAGTGAATCCCAACTTCTATCGTCCTCAGTCCACACATCATCTAAAACCAGAAAGAATTTCTTTCCTCCTAAGGAATCACAAATTCTTTGTAAGAGGCTCTGAAGTGGTAGTGAGTTTAAGAGAAACACCGAAGTATGATCCTGACCTTCAAGTTCAATGATGATTGCTCTTGCAACTCTGGCCTCATCAAAGAGATCAGAGACACACACCCAAACCCTCTTGTCAAAGTGTGTCTCAATTTGATCATCATTGTAGAGGATTTGTGCAAGAGCTGTCTTACCAATACCTCCCATCCCTACCACAAAGATGGTCTGGGGGTGGAGGTCACTAGACTCTTCACTGCTTCCACATAGCAAGTGGCTAAGTATTCTTTTCTTTACCTCATCTCGTCCATGGATGACAGAACCATCAACGAAAGATGTGGTTTCTCTTTCTGGTTGAATTTGAGGCTGTCTAATTTCCCTTGACTCAAAACTATACCTATCTTTCTGTTTAGCAATCCCGTCTAATCTTCCATTGATTGCTTTTATTTGAACAGTAACACCATGGAGCTTAACAAGTCGTCGAAAGTAAAAACAAGAGATAAAATGACACACCTTTTTCTGGAGTACAGACACAACATTTTGAGCTTCATTCATTTTCCACTTCAAAAGTGCAGTATTCCACTCATCTAACACGTCTTCCATGTCAAGAGATGCTTCTTTGAGCCGGTGTAACCAAAGTTTGATACTTTTGTTCCTCATCTCCCTTTCCTCTGCATCATCAAGGAGAGCGTGGACAGACTCGAGATTGCTTCTCAGCTTGTCAATTTCCTCCTGTTCACCCTTTATTAGTCTCACCTTTTGCCTTGCTTCCTCCAAGATGATTGTTGTTAGCTGCTTCAAGACTGCAGAAACAAGTGCATCCGCCATTTTGCTAGAATATTACGTTACCTTCCGTCCCTGGCTATTTTGTTTCTCAACTCTGTGATTAATTTGTTTTGTTTGTGAATTTCACTCAGGTACTTCTTTTCCTTCTTCCTTTTTTAAAGATTTAATACCCAATTTGGTCCTTCAACTTTCATTTTTGAACTTAATTCACCCTTTAACTTCATAAAGCACTCATATCGTCCTTAAACTTTCTTTTTCCCTAACCCAAATGGTTCTTCTGTCATGGAACTATAAAGTTTCGTGATGGAAGGATCATTTGGATTACAAAAAAATAAAGTTTAAAGACGATTTGGGTGCTTTTTGAAGTTAAAGAATGAACTAAGTTCAAAAAAGAAAGTTTAGTAACCAAATTGGGTATTAAACCATTTTTAAAAGGCCGTGTGAAATTGGTACTCCTTTTGTATAGATGCCGACGATAAGATTCCATTTCAATTGTCCACATATTCCGACTTTCTTCTATATAGATGCCAATGGCACTA